GCTAAAAACAGTGGCTGCCAATTTTTTTCCGAAACTGTTTTGGACATCCTGTACCGTTTTTGAAAAATGGCTTAAAACTTACATTTAGAGTCAAAACTGAGTTTTGTCACAGTCACAGTCACAGAAAAACGTTCAAAATATCTAGAACTATAAGTCTAAATTTTGAAACACCAAAAAATCTCGCTATAGGGTTGTCATTTTCGCGTTCAAAATAACCGGAAAATTTTTTCTCTAACCCAAAATAAGCAAACTTAAACCAAACATAAACATACCACATAATACTAATCAAATTAACTTAAAAACACACAATACCAACATAAAACTCACACACCCTTATTACAACCATAGCCTCAAAGGAACCACAAATTACATCCAAAATTTCAAGCTTAAGGTTAGCTAGAAAAATAATGGAGAGTTCAAAAATTTACCTTTGAAGAACTCTCTCTTGAAAGTCTTTGTAATCCTCCTCTTCTCCTTCAACTTAAACTAGATTTGTGGTGAGAAATATGGAGACTTTTGAGAGTATGCAAGGTAGAATGAGGCTTAATTTTTGTTGAGGGAAGAATAATGAAAGTTTTGAGTGTTTGGAGTCTTGGAGAACCGGTTTTGACATGAGAGAGTGGAAGAATAAAATGAGAGGGACTTAAATGTGGGTGGCCGGTTGGGTGCTTTAAGAGAAGAGTGAAGCAAGCATTCTTGGTAAATAGTTTATTTGATTCATCTCATCATGAAGTCTTCTAGTACATTCAACTAACCAAAATTTTTGCTAAAAACCCCTTAACATGGCCGGCCAAGTGAAGGAAATGACAAAATTTTTTATCAAGATTACTCTTCACTTACCCTTATCAAATTACATCTCATCCAACCAAATTCTAACATACCCCTTGTACTTTTGTTTCATCTCTTAGGTTTCCCTTGCAACAGATAAAAATTATACTGACTGTAAGGAAGTACTTATCCGATAAGAAGTTCTAATTTCCATCGTTTCATTTTCTACTGCTTATTTACAGTTCCATATTACTCCCCAACTACTTCGATATCACATTAAATTCTTACTCGCGCATTAATTTGAACTGTTTCACGTCTTGAGATTTATTCTAGACTGAACAAAATCTAAATTTAACTTTTCTGCATTATATTACGGGAATGACATTGCTACTGACAGTGTCAACTCCCGAGCTCGCATTGTATCCTTCTACAGACCTGTTTGAAGCCCTGAGTTACTAACCATTTACTATGCTCTTGTTTTTGTATGTAAGAACTTTCAGATCTATTTTTGGGATATGTATTGTATATAGACATTAGTCACACAAAAAAAATACTAAAATCATGTTTTTGTACCATTGGGCAAAGAAAGTCTTAAAAAGTTTAAATTTAATCTAAAGAAAACTCAAGGCAAGTTAAAAATAAGTTTTAAAAGAGTAACGACACTTAGCGTAACTAGGTAATTTTAAGGTTAAACTAGGTGGGTGTTACAGAGAGAGAGAGAAGGAGGAGAGAGAAAATGAGGAGGCGAGGCATTTGGGAAGGAAATGGGAGGGAGTTGATGAATATTGGTTTGGTTGTGGTTGTGTGTTTGTGTGTGTGTGTGTATGTATAACATATGTATATATTTAGTTTGATTTTTGTAGTTTTTTGTACTACGTAAGAGAAGATGAAGAGAGAGAAAGAGAGAGGAGAGAGAGAGTACTGCACATAAGAAGACAAAAGTGAAAATTTTGTTTGTACTATAACAATGATGAAAATATCGGTATTGATAAAAACATCGCTACTTTAGATTTACGCATATATTGGTGAAAATATCAAAAAAATTTATGAAAAAGAAGAAAATTTACATTATCACATATTTTTAAGGCCAAGTCTCCAGTTCGGTACTGGACTGAAGCAACACTTGTATATTTTTTCTTTAAAATATGTATTTTTTTTAAATGTGTATATTTCATCTTAAAACATGTATATATTGTATATTTTACAATAAATGGAAATGTACATGTTTTAAGTTGAAATATACACATTTTAAAGGGAAATATACATATTTTAAAGAAAAATATACAAGTGTCGCTCTAGTCTGGTACCGGACTAGAGACAATTCCTATTTTTAATACTTTTTGATAAGATCAACATTAGAAAGATATATAAATGAATAAGTTTTACATAAAAAAAACCTCACACATATTACATTTCTTAATACTAAACGGAAGTTCAATGAGGCTCAAACGTGGTCGGGATTCCATCTTGATTCAAAAAATATTAGTATTATGACATATTATTTGAATAATGGTGAACAAAATTATGAACGTGCCACATGAAGGTTTGTTAATTCCTTCTCGCTGTATTTTTATGAATTAGAAACTGTGAATTCCCCCAATCGTTTGCCTGAGATGATGGTGATATGTTCAGATGAGGATAATTAAAAATTTCATATCTATCATAGTTTCTAAAATTATGATTATATGCATAATGAATGCTAGGAGTCTCTTGGAAGAGCTGCAACAATCAGAACATAAATTCATCGATTGTTTCATAAGATGTTTGCATTCTTTATATTCCTAGCTCTCTCCTTGCTAGAAGACAAAAAAAATAATGTAAAAAATTAGACAAATTAAAAAAAACAAAAAAACCTTTAAAAAATATGTTTCCAAAATCACTGAAATTTCACCGAAATTGCCTGATATTCTGCCCCAATTACTGCATATGCAAACCAATATTAACATTTTTACCAATATTTACTGATATTTCTAATATTTTTCCCATAGTTTGCCGATATTGATATTATAGTAGAATTTTGGGGCCCTTAAAAATCCAAAATTTCCACCGAAATTTTGAAAATTTTGATGAAATTTTCATCCATACTATATGTCCTATTTTAACGATATTTGTGTAAAATTAGTGTCAAAAATGTACGTTCGATGAAAAATTCTAACATCCTAATTCAAATGTAACACAAATCTTTCAACTCTTCAACTTTTAATCATTTAAATCTTATAAAAAAATTTGTTTATATGTTGGAAGGGTAATTTTCAAAATCAAAATTTTAAGGGATAATTTGCTAAACCACGATAAGTTCAGGGAGGAGGAATTACGCTAGAAAACCCTAATTTTTTATGGTATAATATACATATATTGGTATTGATTTTTATGAATATAAGATAGTATAAGAATCATAGTAGACTCAAGAAGACAATTTAAAAAAAATTAATAACTATTTGATTTTACAACTGTTTGAGTAAAGTAAAATATAGTTGTCCAAAGAAAACAATTTAAGGTGGTTGAATATCTTGAGTTGGCAAATACCTCTCAGCATGGGGTCAATCTTAAATGGGACGTTTGGTTCATGGGTTCAGAACCATGGTTCATGATTCTGATTTTAAAAATTTAAATTTTTTGCGAGAGAAAAATATTGTAGAGTACCAAGAATCATGGTTCAAAATCAGGAACGAATCCTTAAAATAAACATCCCAAAAATGATTAGACTTGATTCTTGAAGGGCTCTTGGGACAGCCGGTGGTAATTTTAAGAGCTTGTGGTACTCAGATAGTGATTAATATAGATTTAATATTAATCACATACGACAACAAGAATGTGCTGAATTCAAGTATATGTCAACGAAATTGTTGCACTTTTAAAATGACAAGATCATTACATAATAAATATTACTTTTGAAAATGATAATAGAGTTTTCATGAATACATTTGCTTGTTAGAAGACAAGTTTATAAGTATGATTATCTCTATGTCCGAGTTTATTCCTTACTCATTTGCAAGTAATAGGTACTTATATTATAAAAATTGAGGTCAGTCATCAGTGAGGATCTGACCTTTTTTTTATAACAGTTAATGAATATAATATGAATTGACATTTAAGATACTTTTGAAATTATAAAAACCAACCTTTTACAAGAAGACAAAATAAATGATACTAGCATAAAAAATTATACATGTCATTTGGTGTAAAATATTATCTTAAATTGATGAATTATTAATTATGTCAATGAACATTAATTTGAATTGACATTTAAGATATTTTTAAAATTATAAAAACCATTTTTTACAAGACAAGATAAATTATACCAGCATAAAAAAAACATGTGCATACTATTAGGTTGTAAAATATAATTTTAAATTCCTGAAATATCAGTTCTCAAAAATAATTTACAACTTATTACAATTTAACGATAGAGGTCCATTGTACACGATCTCATTTCTCTCAAAAACTCACTTAAGTTAACACATTATTACCAAATTAATTCCAAGGGTATCAAATGATATTTTTTAAATTTGCATGTAATACTTATTTGCCCCTCTCAAAATTTGACAGCAAAATAAAAGGACAAAGGAACGACAATTAACACATAAACTTAATTGTCACACGCGAGTGTATAAGACAATATCCAGAAAAGTCAAATACAAAGCTAACGTTGGCACAGCTAGGATTCCGAATCGGGTTCGAGGGTCAGTATTCACTCACCAATCACCATGCCACGTCATCCACGCTGATTTTTTTTATAAAAAAAATTCCCTTATCTGGCCTTTACGGTAATTAATCAGTGTCACAACAATTGTCAACAATGTAATTAATTAATATGTTTAAAAAGAAAAACCATGATTGATATATAGAAGAGAAAGGAAACGAAGTGGAAAGAAAATAGGAGGAGAAGAAGAAGAAGAGAAGGAAGAAAAACCATGTTTATTTGTACGTTTATGTATGTATGATACTGTAAGATTCTGTGGATAGTTCCTGTGGGTGTAGCCCTGAACAGTGTTAGAGGCTCGAGTTTTAGTCTCTTCCTTGTAATTTATTTTCAATTAAATGGGAGGCTTGTTTGGGAATTTGCTTAATATTTCACTTCAATCGCATTTAACTTCTAATTGAGCCTCCGGGTCACCAACCCGGTTTCGGAGCGTGACAGAGTGGTATTAGAGTCCCAGGTTAATAAACCACAGGATTGTGCATACATGTGTGACATCAGAAATCCACTAAACAGTCTAGTTTCTTTTCAGTTAAAGAAGATGCCGCCGCATTGTAGGTCGGTTAACAACCCGGCGCCACCGAATCAAGAGTTCATGGACGCCATGTATGCCGCTTTCCAAGACATGGCCACTCGAGCTCAGAATGAGCGACCGGCCGAGGACAGGAAGCAGAGTTACTTCCGGGAGTTTAGACGTGCACCCATCCCCACATTCAATAGTGAGGGAGGACCCTAGGAAGTGGAGTTCTGGTTTGACTCCATAGTTAAGCACCTGAATACTATGGGAGTGTCGGAGGAATATCGGATATAATTCGCGGTGTACAAAATGGAAGGCCAAACAAGCAACTGGTGGAAGCAAGTAAAAAGAAGACTTGATGTTGTGGAAATGACTTGGGAACAGTTTGAGGTTCTGTTCAATGAACAAAACTTCCCTCAGAGCTATAGGGATCAGAAGGCATTGGAGTTTATGACCTTGCAATAGGGAGATATGTCGATAAGGGAATATGAGGCTAAGTTTAATGACTTGTCCCGCTTTGCGCCATCTCTGGTGGAATCTGAGCATTTGAAATGCCTGAAGTTTGAGAAAGGTCTGAAGAATTCTGTAAGAGACCCTTGGTCGCTCTAAGGATATGAAATTTTAAAGACCTGGTGGCTGCTGCTACAAGTGTTAAACAAGATAACTTAGCCTATCAGCAAAGCAAGGAAGCATCTGGTCAAACTTCTGCTTCTGGTGGACTCTCTGCTTCGGGTGGGCCACAATGGAGCGGTAAAAGAAACCGAAATCAAGGGTAGGTCAGTGGAGACATGATCAGTGGTGGCAGTAGTTCGTCTAGGAGTGACAGGAGTGCTCCTTATAGACCTAAGTGCCATCACTGTGGGCAGATTGGTCACCTTAGGAGGAACTGTCCTGATTGGAATCAGCTGCTGACTCAACAGCCCCAAAGTGATGCCTCTTACAGTCAAGAGAGGCCACCGCAGTTCATGGCACCCTACCAGCCGCAGCTGCCAATGCCCACC